TACATGTTTTTGTTCCTGATTTACAGCATCCACAGTTCTTTTGGTTATTATCTATCCATTATAAATTCTTCTGCCTACTAAATTAACTTGACTGTACCCAGGGCTTGATATGTGATTGCCTCTTTACTTTTATGCTTCTTCTCAGTTAGAATGATGTAGGAGCAATAGGTCAGCTTCTGTCTGTACGCTGATGCCATTCAGTTTTTTTGTTTTTACTACTTCAACTGTCCATCCAACATAAAGATGAGCCCTAATTTCCTCCAGCTTAATGTCATCAAATTTCAATGTATCCTGTCCAGGTTCTGCAAATACTTATATGGCGCTGACATTGAGTGCATGAAACTTTCTGGCTATGAACTCTTGATTGTGATCTCAACTCATTCCCCAAGTACGATAACTGGTACATTCCTAATATTGTTACTTCCCCCGCACATCCTCACCTCCCAGAGTTTGTTGCCAAAACTTTGTCTTTTACACCTTGAGTTGATTTCTTGTGTTTTGTCTGCAAGACAGTCCTGTTTCATTCTGCACATGTGACATCTCCTCCATAATATTGTAAAACAGGTCCTCATCTGCACCTCACCACTTTCACCCTAGGTAAATGTTAATGTACCACAACAGCAAGCTCCAGTAGTTGTCGCAGTAAGTTAATGAATGTCCATGTGCTTGCCTTCAAATCTCTCCCTGTACTTACCCCCACTCTGCCATGATAATTTTCAACTGTGCTGACACTCGATTGGGTCATTGGAAGAAATTAATCAAATGGCCTTTTCCCATTTCATGATTTGTTCTACCATTTCCACCTTCTTCAGCACTAAATTCTTAATTTCAACCCTATTGTTTTGACATTGAGTTGTGGCTAGTTCATTTCTCGTACAAGGGAAGAAAAATTGAATAAATCCCAGTTGGAAACCTGTTTGTTGAATACATAGCAACGCAGGAGCCTGAAAACCATTTGACTATCTTACATTATATTTTGGAAGAAGGAAAGTAAACTAAATGCTCATGTAACTTGCAAAATAAACTGTTGCCCAGACAATATTTATAGCAAATGTTGAGTATTAACTCTTTGGATCCCTACATATTCTCTTCTCAGATTTTTAAACTTTGGAATAAGGAGCTATATGTACGTGAACAACAAGATGCGTATGAGTTTTTTACCAGTCTAATAGACCAATTGGATGAGCACCTTAAGGTAGGCATATAACAGCACTTCGGCACATTCAGAATCCTCTTATATTTTCATGATACAACTCTCAATACTTTGGTGTCATGACAGAAACTTGGACGTGAACAGTTTTTCAAGAACACTTTCCAGGGTATCTTCTCTGATCAGAAAATCTGCAAAGATTGTCCTCACAGGTGAGTAGCTTTATCCCCATGTAGGTTGACAAACACATATTTCAAGACAAAGGAAACAAACCCTAAGGTGTAATGGGTTATAGATTTTTATTTGGCAACGTAATCTTTGCAAGGTTTTTAGAATCATGGGGAAGGGATTTTTTGGCCCAAATCTTCCGTTTTATGTGAGAGAAGTGTTCAGTCCAAATGGCAATTCAGTTTGCATCCTTACCATTTTCTGCTAGAACCTGTGAAACCTTGGTGCAGGATTCAGCAGGGATGCAAGATTGAACACAGTTAGGAGGCAAATTGTTGTTGATTCCAGAACAGCTGTAACTCCTTGTTTCATTTGTCGTGAACTAGAGACATGCCCCTTAAGGTATCTCTTCAGTTAATTGAATTACTTTGTTTTAAATGTACCTGTCAGCCCCAAAACTGCACAGCCTCCCCTTGCTGACAGTGCTACACTTCCTAAGATCCCTCCGACTGTGTTCATCTCCTTCCCTCATGTCATTGTCTTTTTACACCCAACAACGCAAATTCTTCTGGCATCAGCTAGGCAAGAGCCAGAGGACAAGTCAGGAATGGGGAAAGGGAATGTGTGAACACTTTGGGGAGGTTGGAAGAGGAAAGTCGGTGAGCATCACTTTTTTTTTGGTTGGAGGGTAGACTGCGTAAACATTGCTTCGGGATTGGTGGTAGTTATAAACATATGGTTGCCGGCATGATTTGACTCTACAACTAGTTTTACTTAGTTAAGCTGTTGAACAGGCTTCAGACCTGCTTTGCCAAATTCTTAAGTACGTCCATGCAAAAATCTGTGTGTATGGGGCAAACAGCCCAAGTTTGTTTGGTTCAGGCCAATCACAGAATATTCTGGGTAGCTTAAAACAGGCAGTTGGAAGATGAAACTTTCTACATCAGACCTGTTCATGTACGTACTTGAGGGCTTCCTCATGGTTCCAACACCTATCAGCAATGAGAGTTGGAGGGCTTTTCCCATATTTGAAGATCTGGACCACTGTGCTTTTTAAACGCTTTCTTGACCCTTTCACTTTCGTGTAAGCATCGTTCTCTTGAGCTTCTGCCAAGTCACTCTTGACATAACTGGTAAGTTTATCAGGAGGTGAAGGAATGCTGAATCTCTGGTAAACATTAGTTTCACCCTTTGACGAGCCTGCACACTGCACATTCATGAATTTGCCAACTACTAACCTAAGTATAATCCTCTGCATTCCTTTGTAGCTACTATTTTATATTGTTTCCTAAAACTCCTGTAAACTGCATAAAGTCACTCAGCTAGTGTGGCTAAAAGGTATTGATTCAAAATACAGTTTACATTGTGTAATTCCATCAATATTAAATGCCATCCTAAAAATTTCACAAAGATCAAAATTTGGCACGGTGCATTTGAGCCTCCCAACTGCAGTGTTCATATGAAGCACAGATTTCCGTTTGATCTTCCTCCAACATAGTGTGCTTGGAGGTTGTCCACTTGTAACAAATCATTTTCTGGTGGGACCATTGAAAAAATTGTCGTAAATTGCTAAGGCCTATTAAACCTCAGTAGCAACTCCCATTTGTGTGCCAAAAGTGCATGCTCGCATTTTATTTGGCACTTTACTTTTAATTTGGCACTTTACTTTTAATTTGGCAC